GACTGGCAAGCGCATTGTAGAAGTCGCGGCCAAGGAAATTGAATCCAACGCTGATGCCGGTCGTAGCAAGCGTAAGAGCGAAGACGGCGGCTAGCTGCAGCCTCGCTTGTACCTTGTCATCCGAAAACCAATACGGAGCCGCCACCTTCCAGAATCTCCGAAGCAGCGTGTTTATTGGAGGTACTTTCCTCAGCAAATCCTCCGCCTCCTCCTATTAGAATCAAAATGTTAAGTGCCGGTGAGAGAAAATGAAGAGAAGAATGCAAGCGAAAGCAAACCTTATCCACCGGCGACGGAGGCGGCGAGGGAGCGGCTGAGGAGCTGCATCGGATGTTGCATGATGAATAAGGTAACCTCCGTCTCCGAGGCCGCCGGGAGGACATGGATTTGAAGCAAGCGAGGTGATGACGAGAGTAGTGAAGACTGTAATTGCCGATGCAGAGGCCAGGAGGCCTTTGTAGCACTGTAATCATTTTCTCCCTCTTCCTTTTTTTTCCCCTTTTCTTTCGGTTAAGGAATAACGTGTTTGAATTTTAATGAACATACCCACCGCAGGGGAAGTTTGCGATTATAATCCTGCCACGCCAATATATTTTGTTTTCTATTTTACATAAAAGGAGTCCAACAATTTTAATTTGAGATTTTGCACCAAAGACAAACCATCTTTCCATTTTAATCCCAAAAACATATTCATCAAAGACAGGAAGAAGATAACCATAACAAAAATCTGATCATACAAGTTCATCTGAAGAAAAAAAAGAGTTGAAATTTCCATAGCCTGCTATTACATTACATTCACAAAGATCATACATGTTGATAATGGTTTTTTTTCGTTTTTTTTACTAAATGCTGGTTTCATTTCTGGAGGTTATCTCCCCACCGCTATGAGTTGCTACTTTCAGCTTCTTTCTCGTTCCCTTTTGCTTCCTCACCACCGGCTGCAGATGATCCTTGTGATGTTGCCATAGTCAATACCTCTCCAGGGGGTGGGTGATCGAATTTGCAATTTGCACCATATTTGCATGTTCCAGTCTTCATATAGTAGGGGCAGTGAATGGCACCCTGTCATACTCATAACTCAGGAAAAATTCTTCCATGGTAGCATTTACATATATACTACTTTTATGCAAAACAATACTTAGTTTATAGTTGTTCTCTCTTTTTTTTTTTCTCTTTTCCTATGGTTAAATAACCAACTAATGATACAGAAATATATAGATATACATGAATGGATGACCCAAATAAGACAGTTAAAAGTCCCATAGAGAAAAAACTAGTCCATTTCTACCACTTTCATTTTGTCATTTTTGTGCCAATTATCTACCACTTACCAATACTACAGTGCATAACTAAAGGCAAGACTGCTTCTTCATCACACCATCATAGTACCTGAGGCATTTGTTTGTGTGCACAAAACTGGAACTAGGTTCCCCAGGTACATGTAAATAAATCAGAATAGAACTAATATGAGTAAGATTTAGGATGCCAAAACCCCCAAATCTGCCCCTCAAATAGGGAGGCAGGGACATATCTGCCCTCCCAAAAAATGCAGGGACAAATTGCCCCTCCAAATTAGAAATGAAGACAAATCACCCATTTTTTAACGTGTGACATCAACTTTCCGTTAAAAAATGCTTACGTGGCAAACAGAATTCTTATATCACATGTTAAAAAATGAGTGATTTGTCTTGATTTATAATTTGGAGGAGCAATTTGTCCCTGCATTTTTTTGAGGGACAGATCTGTCCCTGCCCCCCTATTTGAGGGGTGGACTTGAGGGTTTTGCCATTTAGGATTATCAGAATGGTTCATGTATTTAAAAAATTATTGTCCAAGCAGGACTACCTGTTAGAGTATTGGGGATAATTAATTACAAGTTCGGTAATGAATCAGACCTCATGCAAAAGAGAATAAGCAGAACCAGACAAAAGCTCATCCAATATTTTACCGAAAGAGGTGTAATACTATTAATTCCAAAAACTTGGTCCACTTTTCTTGCAAGTAAATAAAAGGCATAAGACAAAACTTTACCTCTCTCCTGGGTAGTCCTGCTAGAGTGAGCTTAACAGGCTGTTGAGAAGCTTGTTTTGTTGTTCCTGCTGAACGGTCTGTGGGATGATGGAATTTGCATCTTTCGCTGAACTTACACACTCCAGTCTTCATATAATACTAGAACATGAAAAAGCATTCAAGAGGCAAAACAACAGTCATTAAGCATGTATTCATACATTTATGAAAGGAAATCAAATGCTTTGCTGCATAAAAGAACTATGCAGTGGCAGCAGCTCTAATTTTACTTTCAACAATTTCAAATACATCAAAACAAATAATAATGGTCACAAGAACAATATTAAAACAACAACAAAAGTTAAAAACAATGGTAATATGGCAAATCTAAAGTACAAAATTAGGTAGATGCGCACGTCACATTCAGTCTGACCAGGTCTCTGAGGGTAGATTGTTTGGGCCACTCCCATCTGTAAAAAATGAAAAAGGGCATACTCACATGCGTCAGCATTTAAGCAAACAATAACATTTCATATAAATTAGCAAAACTTTACCTTCTTTACAAACCAAAATAGTTCTGTTAAAACATGCATCGTATCTATAGAACTTTTACAGGATTTTGAGGCAGGACCATGAACAAGAACATGACAGAGAAAGTCAGTCTATGTGATCTCAGATGGAATTACAATGACAGGAAGAAAAGTGGACATTCAGAAGTTGTTAGACAAAGCAATGATACTCAGACTGCTAGCACTAATGCAGGCATTGGCACTTAAAGTGATGCTAAAGACTTGCATTGACACTGCATAAACCACTCTCCTTAGAATCCTACATTGGCAGAATGAACACAGCAAAGGTTTGTGAATTCAAACACCTAGATATTCCTTGTTGCATGATAAGTATCTATCTTAGGTTAAACCAGCAGTCAATTGCAACCCTTTTGTCTCATCCTACTTTGATTTCTCACCTTCTTCAAAGCAGAATAAACCATCCACTTGAGATCAATCCCAAAAATGAAAATACAAACCGCACCTAGAAGTGTTCAAGGACGTGCAAAATCTGATCTTGTTTCTTTTCTTTGCCCCATTTGATCTCATACCTATTCTTATCTTTGTCTCTAATGGGGACCCTCTTTTATCTCATTTTATCCAATCAGAAAAGATTCTAACATTTCTATATTCACAATTTATTATAAAGTTTAAAAATTAGGCAGTTAAATGTACATGACATGTCTCCAATTACCGTTGGCTGAGCAGTTACTGCTGTCTGAGACAATCTGGGGTCAATACTTTGATAGAAAGATGCAGCTGGATTAACAACTCCAGTGCCCAGATTACTTGCTATGGAGGCTACAAAGGGGTGACTTAATGCTGCAGCGGGTGGATTGAATGCTGCACAAAATGTCAGGACGAAAATTTTCAGATACTATTCTTCTGAATTTAAAGAGTTAGGATCCCTACTTGATTTTAAATATTATAAAATCTGAGTATACTTACCATGCCTGTCAGGATGACTGTAGCGGCAATTGGCACCGTACTTGCAACTAAAATGAAAAAGATTTAGAGTAAGATATATAGATATATATATATATATATTAGGATGGTAAATCTCCATCTTTTTGAATTGTGAAAATTTTAGGCTAATCTTTACCTGCCAGTTTTAAGATAGAAGGGGCAATCCACTTCACCCTGTTAGAAACATAAATGTTTGATTTGTTAAGCCATTTTTTGAATGACATTAAGTTAAAAATCTAATCAGGAAAACATCTTCATCATTCTTCTATAACCATATTTCTGATTAGAATAAAAATTGATGACATCAGGTGTAGTTTAAGTAGCAATATAAGCACAGTATGCTAAGACCACAGCATAGATAGCAGAATTTTGATTGATTAGAGTAGAAATAAGAACTTCCCAACACGCTCACAATTTTAAACTATTACAAATAGAATAGGCATCAAAAGAATAAAGACAGAAAAAATGAAGCAGATAAGGGTGAGCTAAACAAGGAGGATTATATGCAAACATAATCATAAAATATTGTATTAAAAAAAGAAAAATATATAGATACTGATAATCAACTACATCTACAATTGCAATTAGAAACCGACCAGTCTTATAGGAAGTCCTTTCGAGTTATGATACAATACAGGCTTAACATCTTCTGTTGGTCCTCCAGACTGAGTTATCAATTCAGTCTGCTCGACTCTGGCAACCTCTTGGCCAGCAGATGCTATTTGAATATCTTTCGGATGATGGAATTTGCAGGATTTACCAAATTTACATTTCCCAGTCTTCAAGTAGAACTATTAAAAGCATAAGATAAAGAACAACTAGATTAGCATCTCAAAATATGTACTTGTTGTCCTATAAGAAATAAAATGAAGGTAAATATCTTACAGCACATGGGGGCTCAGACGGCCTCTCTGGTAAGTCAGATACCACAGCATTTTCTGAAGAGTGCTGGGAAAAAAAAAAAAAAAGAGGATTAATTGTGCTATTTAAACCTCAATGTAAGTAATGACTGTAAAATAAACAAATTATGCAGACATCATCCAGATGAAACATACCGTGGGAGCCGTTTTATCTTTTGGGTGATTGAACTTGCAATTTGAACCAAACTTGCATCTTTGAGTTTTCAGATAATACTACAAACAAGAGGAATTTGCACCAAAAGTAGGAACCTTTTAAGCAATCAAATGCAACTAAAGAAAATAATAAAATAGATAAATAAAGGGAGGAATAATTATAGCTTACAGGACAATCTGGCTCCCCTGGTCTCTCAGGAAATGATTCACTTACATCCAAAGCTGGAACCTAAACAAAGAAGAAACAAATTGTACTTCATTGCAATATAAATTGTCCTTCCCAACTGACATGCCAAATTGCAAAGGGAGTGAATTTGCAAAACAAAGAACCAACGTGGAATTCCACAGCAGAAAGAAACAACTTATATAATGAGAAATGAGGAAACTTATGACAACCTAACCAGCACTATATCATTCTTTCTCTTTCACTGGAACAACAGATCACCACTTACCAAATGGCAGACATGTCCCATAGAATCAATAAAAATTTGATAAAAATAAGAAGCATCTTAAGATATTAATGCAATATAGCTCACCAATAAAAAGAGCAGCAATGATATAAATTGATAAACCATGGACATAACCTTCTTTCTCTAGACACTGTTTTCATCTTCAAAGATAGTAAGATAACTGCAGACCATGGAGCAGACATCCACACATGCACTATAATTTGATATTGAATTATATATGCTGTAAAAGCTATAATGTTCACAAAATGATTTGGCGATAAAAGTATTGACACCTAATTTATAAAAACAAACAAAACCAGCCCACACTTATTTCACTAGATGCATCATATATTGCAAGTGGATAAAACCATTGGCCACTATTACACCTAATTGAGTTGAAGAAAGAAATTCCACATAACTTTCTTTTTAAGAAAGCAGTTACCTTAAAATTTAAAATAGTTAAACAAACGGAAAGGAGAAAATGCAAACTCCAGAAAAGTTCTTTAGTTTACTCTCTCTAATAGCTAAAGATATTTAGAATATCAAAAAATCTTGTAAGATAAAAAATTTACAAGCATAGGTAAAACTATTAGATTACCAATTTACTATCACATATATGTTTATCCTGGCAACTAGGCATGAATTGTTTAACTTAGAGGTGACGAGTAGATTGTAAGTTGTGTCAATTGCTAATTAATATATAAGCATATTTCTCATAAATAAGATTGGAAACTTTACATATTATGTAAGGTGTGTATACACATAATATAATAAAATACATTACCATAGGTATAAAAGATATCAATAAACAGTCACCTCTTTCCAATCTGGGATTCCACCCTCAGGAACCCAAATAGGATGGTCAAACTTGCAGCTATCTCCAAATTTACAAGTTCTTGTCTGCATATAGTGGACACAATCCTTCTCTCCTGGCCTCTGTGGATAAATAGGCAAATTGCTTGTACTCTCCAGTCTAGGACGCTTGACTAAAGAGCTAGTAGAATACCAAGCTTCATTTTGGCCAATTGAGTTATGGGCACTCAATAGAGTCTGATGGTAGAGCGCTATAGTACATAGTAGACAGGTATATCCCAGAAAACAGGAAATATATATGTTACTGTATATATATAACTTAAAAATTAATATGTTAAGAAAATACATATACTTTAAACAGATATATGCTGATTTCAAATTTAAGGTTAATGATGTAAATTAAAATCACTTATACCCATACATTTTAAGGGAAAACATGCGATCAAGATGAATTAGATTATATAAAGAACAAATAAATATAAAGAAAGAGTAGATTGTCAAGATGCAACCAATTAAGTACATGGGGCATGGCTTTTGGAGCTCATAATGGTTGCAATCTCTTCATTATGGATGCCCAAATAATACTAGATTGCACTTAAGTGATTGAGCATGTGTTTGTACTAGACTTTTCTAAGAATAATGACCCGTATTATATATACGTAAAATATTTTGTTAATTGACATATTTTCAAGAAATATTCCAACCATAAGTTAATAAACTAGAAAGGTAACTAACCATTCTATTATACATGGAAAAACCTAAGCGCTGTCATTATTACTAAAGTTTATGACCTAAGTAAAGTGCCTAGAGCTATGCAACCGAGCTACGTGAAGCTGGCTAGGAATTCGAGAATTCAACCAACACAGAGACACTTGTAGCGAACACCATGTAAATGGCTGAAACATGAAGATCAAAGCAAACAACTTTAAATGAAACAAACCTACAGAATGATACTATAGCAGCAGAATGTAGAAAGGAAAAGAAATAATCAGCACAAAACTTGAAGGTAAAATGGAATAAACCCTAACCTTCAGAGGAGCGCTTAATTCCAGGAGGAAGCAAAGATTCGGAGGCAGCAGAAGGAGAGAAATGGAGGCCAGACAGCCAGGATTTATCGTGGTGCAAGAAACGGGAATACGGAGTGGTGGAGGATGTGGAAGAATACCCGAGGCCGAGGGCGTCGCTGTGGTTGAGATACATGGAGGAGGAGGAGGAGGACCTGGAGAGATCGGAGCCCAAGATTCGGTGGAGGGTGGAGTCGGTGAGGGAGCGTGAGGCGGCGGTGGCGGCACCGTAGATAGAGGGCGTCACGGACGATGGCGCGTAGGTCGGAGAGTAGCCGTACATTGGGTTGGCCATCCCTTGGAAGAGCTGATGCTGGTAGCAGAGCAGTAGCAATCAGTAAAGATGGGAGCCAAATCCCTTGTTTAGTGTGTATGAAGTATTAATTGTATTTTACTGTCAAATCTCAAACCTTGTCGTTGCTAAAACTGTCCCTAATCTTTTATTTTATTTCAATTACGTCCACACTCCTGTTCTTAATTTTTTTTTTTTTTTTGGTTTTCCGCCCGATATCGGGGTTTCGCCCTGACTAATCCGGACCCGACCAGCATTGCGCACCTGGAAATGGTGGGTGAGTCTCCGAGCGAGAGTTGCTGCGTACACAAGATCTCGAACTCAAAATCTTGCTTAAGCTGAAAAAAATTGCTTACCACTTAGTCCAACTTCTCATTGGTCTGTTTTTAATTTTCTTTCACTTGTTTGAAAGGTTTTCACTAAAAGAGTTGTTAGAAAATATTGTATAAAAAATTGATAAATTTTATAATAAAATTTTATTATATTGTTAACTTTTTTATGTTTCATAAGAAATTAACATAAAAAAAATTGGTAAAAAGGTTATTAAGTAAGTCCCACGTAGGAAAAAGATAGTTCATATATAAGAAAAGTTTGGAAAAAAATGTTTTTTTCTTTAAAAAATGTGAGAAGAAAAGTTTTATAAAGAAATTTTTATTAAAATTTTGTTGGGTTAATAACTTTTTTATATTTAGTCAAAAATTGATATAGGAAAATTTTGTAAGAAAATTGACAAATGAGTCTCATATATGAGAAGTTAGGAAAAATCTTTTTTGTTCAAAATGTATGGGAATAAAAAGTTTTGTAATAATGTTTTGTTAGAATTTGGTTGGGTTATTAACTTTTTTTTATATTTAGTAAAAACTTAATATAAGAAAAATTAATAAAAATTAATAAGAAAGTTTTTAAATTTGTTCCATGTATAGGAAGTTGAAGAAAAACTTTTTCCCTCTAAAAATTGTGAGAATAAAACTTTACTAATTAAAAATTTTATCTGTGAAAATAAAATTAACTAAAAATTTTACTTTTACTTTCTTTGTCATAGCATTAAGGTGTTTGGGGGAAACTTTCTTCCTCAACCAAATGCTTTGCAAACTCCATAGTATAGTGTACATGTTTAATTGTTTAACACTTTGTTATTGAAAAAAATAGTTAATAATTATAGCAGCTATTACTTGATGGACAATAATTGATATTATATAATTGAAATGCATTTTGAAGTTTAAAATCAACTATTTAAAGAAAATTAGTTTTTGTTTATGTCTAGCATTTATTAAATTGTGTTGCATTGTATTATAATCATAAGTTTTTTTTTTTGTCTTTTATTAGTTTAAAATATGATACAAATTAAAGCTAATAAAAACTTATAAAAATTATTTTAAAATAATTAAAAATTAAAAATTTACTTTTTTTTAAGATAAAGATGCTACCTAGAAAAAATATCCATGAGAAATATTGTTAAAGAAAGCCATAGTTACATCAACATGGCATAAATAAGAAGTTTGGGGATAAATTAAAATAAATAAATTTTGGGTTATTTTTAACATAAATCTAAAGATTTGGACATATTGTTTACCATCTACAAAACCAGAAAATAGCATGAAGTTCCTCTGAACCCTGTATGCTACTCCTGCCATGGCAAAGCAGGAGAACAGAATCCGAGCCCGGAACAACCACCGTCGCTTTCTGCCCCCTGCATCACCGGAATCTTAAAAATTCTTTCTTTTTTCCATTTCACCTGCCAAAACTCTCAACACTTCTTGGCCGTGCCCCCATGCAGGCTGTCGCGTTTTTGTTGGCACCATGGCGTAATACCCACCTCAATCACTAACCACCCAAAAATTGAACAGTTCACCACCAAGTAATCACCGGAAGCTCCTCAAAGACGACTTTTACACATGGGTAATGATGTATGAGGTTGAGTTTCAGCTACATCTGTTTGTGCACATAAACTGTTTCTGGATATGTCTGAACCACAGAGCAGCATATCGCATGGCCGATATATAAATGGTGGACTTAGGGAAGTTCTGAAGATACGGTCTTTTACAGGTTTTGGACATGTCCACCAAGTTATTGCAGATATTCTTAAATCCTGTGCTGCTTTCAGGACCATTGCAGTGGGGAGGGCTCTTCATGGTTGTGTTGTAAAACTGGGTCTCTTGTCTTGCCAGTCTTTGTCCAAAGCACTGCTTAACATGTATGCTAAATGTGGAGCTCAGGGTGATTGCCTGGAGCTATTTGGTCAAATGGGCACTTCTGATCCTGTTGTTTGGAACATTGTCTTGTCTGGGCTTGCTGGTTCTAAGTTTTATGATGGAAAGGTAATTGGGTTGTTTAATGCAATGCATGTTGCTAATGGAGCTAAACCAACTCCTGTCACCTTTGCAATTCTTCTTCCAGTGTGTGTTCGGTTAGGAGATTTAAATGGAGGGAAGAGGGCGCATTCCTATGTGATTAAATCTGGATTAGGAACTCATACGCTTGTTGGAAATGCATTGGTTTCTTTCTATGCAAAATGTGGGTCTGTCTTGGGGGATGCATATGCTGCTTTCAATGGAATCAGTGATAAAGATGTTGTTTCATGGAATGCCATCATTGCTGGGTTTTCAGAGAATGTGTTCATGGATTTTGCATTTAGATTGTTCAAGGGGATGCTGAAAGGACAAGTGGAACCAAATTCTGTGACCATTATGAATATTCTACCTGTTTGTGCTTCTTTGGATAAGGAATTTTCCTATCTCCTTGGCAAAGAGATCCACTGTTGTATTTTAAGGAGGGCTGAGTTAGGTGAAAATGTTAATGTCTGTAATGCTTTGGTTAGTTTCTACTTAAGAATTGGACGGAAGGAAGATGCTGATTCAGTTTTCCAAAGGATGGAATCAAGAGATTTGGTCTCATGGAACACTATCATTGCTGGATACGCATCAACTGGTGAGTGGCTGAAAGCAGTGGATTTTTTTCATGAATTACTTTCTACAGAAATCATTGATCCAGGTTCTGTGACTCTAATCAGTGTTCTTCCTGCCTGTGCACAGCTTCAGAACTTGTATCTGGGCAAAGCAATCCATGGTTATGTTCTCCGACATCCTTGCCTATATGAGGATACAAATGTGGGGAATACTCTTGTTAGTTTCTATACAAAATGCAATGATATCAAAGCAGCATATCAAACATTTCTGATGATAACTAGGCGAGACTTGATATCATGGAATTGTGTGCTTGGTGCTTTTTCAGAGAATGCCTATAGGACTCAGTTTCAGGAGCTCTTAAGATTGATGTTTAAAGAAGGAATTAGACCTGACTCCATCACCATCTTAACAATAATTCAACACTGTGTTACCTTTTCAAGACTGGAAAAGGTTAAAGAGACCCATAGCTATGCTATCAAGGCTGGTTTTCTAATGGTTGATTCTGAACCTACTACTGCAAATGCAATACTTGATGCATATTCCAAATGTGGAGACATGGAATATGCATTTAGGATTTTTCAGAGTTTAGCAGAGCAGAGAAACCTGATTACATTCAATTCAATGATCTCAGGATATGTGAATTCTGGATTACATGATGATGCTATTGTGATTTTCAATACTATGTCTGATAGAGATCTCACTACTTGGAATTTGATGATCCAAGCTTATGCTGAAAAAGATTGCCCAGAACAAGCTTTCAGTCTTTTCCGTGAATTACAGGCTCAAGGAATGAAACCTGATGCAGTGACTATCATGAGCCTCCTTCCAGTTTGTGCTCCTATGGCTTCCTTTCAGCTGTTGAGGCAGTGCCATGGATACATGATACGAGTGTCTTTTGATGATGCTCGCTTGTGTGCAGCTATTTTGGATGTGTATGCAAAATGTGGCAGTATTGAAAGTGCTCATAGGCTCTTTCAATCAAATTTCCACAATGATCTGGTTATGTCTACTTCCATGGTTGGTGGGTACGCCATGCATGGTATGGGGAAGGAAGCACTCAGGCTTTTCTCTTATATGCTCGAGTTGGGTATGAAGCCTGATCATGTTATCATTACTGCTGTCTTATCTGCCTGTGCTCATGCTGGTCTTGTTGATGAAGGGTTGAACATATTTTACTCAATAGAGAATGTTCATGGGATGAAACCAACTATGGAACAGTATTCCTGTGTAGTGGATCTCTTAGCTCGAGGGGGCCGAATAAGTGATGCATATTCTTTAGTCACCAGGTTGCCCTTTGAACCAAATGCAAGCGTATGGGGGAGCTTACTAGGTGCCTGTAGGACCCATCATGAGGTCGAATTAGGCCGTCTTGTGGCAGATCGCCTTTTTGAGATTGAAGCCAGCAACTTAGGGAACTATGTGGTGATGTCAAATTTATATGCAGCTGATGCTAGATGGGATGGGGTCATGGAGATGAGAAAACTGATGAAGACGAAAGATTTCATAAAGCCTGCTGGATGCAGCTGGATTGAAGTGGAGAGGAGGAAGAATGTCTTCATAGCTGGAGACTGTTCTCACCCTCAAAGGAGCAGTATTTACCATATGTTACATAACTTGGATCAACAAATCAAACAACCATTTTTGTTTGACAAAATTGGCATTTTGCAGGCGGCATTAGACTGCTGAAAGCAAACACAAATAAACTCTCAGAGCTTCAAGTCAGGACTAGAAGAAAACAGAGTTGTTCGGACGGAAAAGGCAAAAAAGAAAAAAAAAATGTCTGAGAAATTAAAAATATACAAGGAAAAACCATAAGAAGGGGTTATTAATCAAGCTACAACACCTTAGGTATTCTTCAAAAAATTCATTATTTTTTCTATTTTAAAATAATTATTGTTATTTAATTTTGA